TGAAAGGGGAGTTTTTCGCAATCATTCGTTGTTTCGTAATAAATTCCCTGGCCACTTTTTCGTCTGAAAATTGAAATAATAGTGGGCAGTGGGTTGCGTTGTGTTTTTTTGCGCAACCTAGTGCAAAAACATTGAATATGAGCCATATTGCAGGCATTAAGTAAAGTGCTCCTGATAGTTGCTAAGGGCTGTCTGTCAGGGATATTAAAAACAATCGCATTTTTCGAACTTTTTACTATTTTAAACATTTCCGCTGCTATAGCGTCGATGAATGCACCGGCTTTTAGAAGATTTTGTCTATCGAAGCACATAGATGGCTCCGCAATATAGGCGATTGGTGATAGTTTTGCAAGTAGGATTCCAATAGAGAATAACTGGGAATCCATCTCATTTAACTTCTGTTCAACCATATTTGCTTTTTCTCTAGCCTACTCAAACAGGTCAGTGAGAGCGACCGAGCAGGAATTCAGGGTGGAGCAGTGTTGACCGTGGTTTTCGGTCTGGCTCCTCGGTGAGAATGAATCCTTGCATGTGTACTCGTCATCTTGTTCATTTTTTGGCACCCCTACACGTGTTCAAACGCTGTATTGTTATTCGTCAATAGTTTCCAGGGTAGAATACTAACGTGGATGATAAGAGGAGTACCATACTTTCAAAAGTAATGGAAGGCATAATAGACGATGGAATAAGAGAATTTCTTGGTCTCGAGTTCTCTCAACGCACAGCATCACGGATTCCGCAAAGACCGGTCGTGCTTAACAAACCTCCTGGCGGCGACAGACGATTGGACTAAAGAAGGAGATATGGGGAACAGCGTGGATGTTATATTCCCAGACTTCTACAAGGCCTTCGACAAGGTACCGCCTCGAAAATTATGCGACAAACTCATCCGGGCCGGCCGGAATTGTGCTTCCACTTGAGTTAACCAAAACTCCGGGTCTTCGAGGATGAAGTATGGTATTCTAGCCACTAGACCACTAACGTGGGGACTATCCTGCTGCTTTACGTTGACTTCTGCGCTGACTTGATCGTCGGTCAATGAGTTTTGCATTATGTACGCAAGTGATGACTAGATAGGAAAAAAATTGCACGAGGTCATTGTCTCAACTTATTAAAGGTGGTAAAAATAAATCTTAGGTTACCCCAGCGATAATGAAAGGACTAAGCAAGTGAAATAATGTAACAGTAATAACGAAACTAAAATGCGCGATAACTATAAAATGTGGAAAAATAATCACGTCGGGCTCACCAATTTAGTCTCTGGGTTGATGATGTCCGCGAATTCGTACGTCTAACAACGGGCGAGGTAACAAACCAAAGCAGAACGACTGATATCACGAAACCTCAACGATTATTGTATTGTGCAGAAAGTGAAACTCAAGGTACCGTGACCAACGAGGTAATCCTGGTCCGGTAAAACAACAAGGTCAGGAGGTTGGAAAAGGTATATGCGCGGAAAGGGTTGACACTGTCACTGCACCTTTTTTGTGGGCAATATGGAACGCCTTCAGAATAAAGGTCTCTCACCGACAGGCCAAAAAGCAAGGTTTATCGCCCTGTGTTTGCAGATAGGCGAAAAAACCGATCAATTGAATAGGTGGATGCACACTTGGGAGCACACTACCGAAGGCATTCTAGATGCTTGATTGGCTTGTGATCACTAGCAGTCCTGAACAACTTGGCCTGATCTACCTCATGGTTGAAGGTCTTTTACTACCCAAAATTCGAAATTTGAATTCGGAAACTCTAGTTCCGTTTGTT